CATTTAGGTGCCTCGGTATGTACATAAGCTTGTTTATGTGTAATTGGGTGCAGGTTAGGAACCAAATAGCGTTTGTTAAATTGTTTGCATGTATATTACTTCGTGCCACAGATGCTGGGTATTTTTGGGTATTTTTGATATTTGTGATTTATGGGTATAAGATGATAGGTTTGTTCGTCGAAAATCCAGCAAGAATTATCCAACATTCAAAATATCAGAGAGTAAGAAAAATTTCTGTCAAATTTCCTCTCAACCCGAGAAACTTACAAATTTCTGCACGAACGCAAATTTGTAGGAATTTGCAGGCTTCAGTAACAGCTGACTTACATGGTTGCATGTCAAATACAACAAGTTATCCAATTGAATTTGTGTTCTTAATAATAAAGTAAGTTTGAAAATTGTTAATTTTCATCTTCTAATGTTTAGATCGCTATATTAAAATGGAAAGCCAAGGAAAACTGACAATAAATTGCTCTCCCGGAACATTTCGCAGGGTTGAAGAAGGTATGTATTGACTTTATATATTTAGAACAAATATGAACCAATTTATGTGCAGATCCTGTGTATAGGCAGCGGGTGCTGCAACAGGTAGCCGGAGAGAATTTTTATGAGGAGATCACAATTTCGCAGCAAATTCCTTCAAGTGCTGATGAAGTTGAACCAAGCGACTATACGCCAATTGGCGCTCATGGTGGCACTAGTGAATCGGTAGGTATTACCGATGCTTCCGGAAGTAACTGCGCTGTAAGTAGTCCCTTTGGTGTCATCAGTGAACAGCCAACTGCTATGGCCCGTGGCGAAAGCGATTCCGAAGATTTGGGCTTTCTTCCGGGTTGCAGCAGAGATGCTGACAGAAAAGTGCTTTGGCTAGATGCGCCAACAAAACTCCTGCTAGCCAGAGTTAAAGATCTGCGTCCTCAGGTGGGTAAAACCGTAAAACTGAAGAACAAAAAACAGATGTGGAATACAATCAGCGAAGAGTTGTGTTCCAAAGGATACCTTTATAGTGCAGCGCAAGTTGAGGGAAAGTTTTTTAGTTTGGAGCGACAGTATAAAAAGGTTCAGCTACATAATTCGCAAACGGGACGCAGTAGACAAACTTGCCCTTTTCAAGCGTAAATTTCAATAAATTACACATGCTTTCATAATCAACGAAAAAGTCCACATATTTTATATATTTTTCCTAGAGAACCGGATGACATTTTGCAGGAACGTGTTTCCATAAATCCAGAATTCGTTCTGGATAGCGATCAACCCGCTGACGCGAGTTTCCAAGAGGATCAAGCGCAAAATCTTCAAGCAGCACCAGCTACTCCGGGTATTAATATATACAAACCTTTATCAATATGGTATTTCAATTAGGATTTTAACTTCCTTCTAATTTTGTTTCAGAAAATGTTGGCGTAACGCCATCTACCTCCAGAAAAAGAAGAAGAACTACGATGGACCTTTTGCTTGATAAAATGGACAAAGAAGCAAAAAAACAAGAAAAGAGGGACAACGAGCTAAAAGAACTACTAGAAAAAAATGTGCAACAGAAACAGGAAAACGCCGCAAATAAGAACGAGGTTGAAAAAAAAACTATGTTTGTTAGAATCCCTAATCGAAAATCTAAAAAAATAACTTTTTTCAGTATTTAATTATTTTTTATATTCTTTATTATATATTAAAATTTGATTAAAGTGAAGGACATACAGTCAATCAAAAATGTTAAGATACAGAGAGTTACAATACGGGAAAAGATGGTTAATTCCATAACAAAAACCACAGAAATGTGAGTTCCAAACCTTGTGCAAAGTTAAAGTATATTCTGCAAATTCTCATTATAATATTGCACTCTAATTTACACTTTTTAGAAAAAAAGTATCCAGTTTTTTTCATAAATTTTTAGTATAATAAAGTGCCAGTTTCAAGTAGCTAGCACAAAAATCAATGGTAACTCCGACCTACTTCAAACTTGCAATTTTTAAACTCAAATTGAATCCGGAAAAAACAGCATACTTTTTTCCTAAAAAGTGTAAATTAGAGTGCAATATTATAATGAGAATTTGCAGAATTTACTTTAACTTTGCACAAGGTTTGGAACTCACATTTCTGTGGTTTTTGTTATGGAATTAACCATCTTTTCATAAAAATCTAGCGAAAAATGAAATATTAAAAAAACAGTTGCCCGTATTGTAACTCTCTGTATCTTAACTTTTTTGATTGTCTGTATACATATGTATGCCAAATCTAAAACTACTTACATTTCGTCACTTGAGATGCAAAATGCCGTATTTAAGAATTTTATTTGCGTAAAACTTTGTACATATATATATGAGGACTTGTAATTTGAAGAAATTTTGGAATTTTTATCAGTCATGGCCTTTTGCATTTCAGGTGACGATATGCATCCACAGTGCATTGAATTTTCAACTTTATTTACTAAGGGTTCTGATTTAGATTATGTTGAATGTTTTGGCAAATAGCATCTCGAAAAGCATTTCCTCTAGGGCCGTCGGCCTGATTTGCAAATACGTTGGTTTGTTCTGTGGTTCTCTCTTCTTCAAAATCAAGATCGTCTTCATTGGCGATGTTGTGTAAAACACAACATGCCCTTATAAAATGACAAAGCTTTTCCATGCCTTTCAATTTACAAAAATAAAGCTGCCTGAATCTTTGTTTTAGGATACCAAAAGTGTGTTCAATAGCAACACGACCAGTGCTCAATTTATAATTAAATGTTTTCTGAGCCCGTGTAAGATGGCCATTGTCTCTGTATGGAGTAATAACGTACTTGCTGCAGGGATATGCTGAGTCGCCAAGAATGTAATAATCTGAAGTACACGAGAAAATAAATAAGAATATTGACATAGGTACGTAAATTTAAAAATACTCACCGCCACAATACGAGGGTAGCTTGTTGTAGATAGGTGAGTTCTGAAAAACCCAGCTATCGTGGCAGGAGCCCGGATATCCTACGAAAGTATTGATAAATTTTTTTTCTTCATTGCAGATTCCTTGCAAGCAAATTTACACATTCCCCTTTCTGTCAATATACTCATCTTTCCCTCGTTTTGGTGGCAAAATTTCAATATGCATTCCATCAATGCAACCTTAAAAAAATTTTTTTTCTTAACGTAATTTATATTTGTGCCTATTTTAAGCATCACATTACCAATTGCCTTTGAAAACATGCACTTGTTGTCAAAAAATTTGCTCGATTTATCCATCATCTGCTGATTTGGCCATTTTATAATTTCGGGACTTAAGCTGCTGATAAACCTGGTCACAATTTTTATCGCTTTTGAAATTGTTGATAAAGACAAATTAAATCTATAAGTCTCGGAAACTACACGCTTCATTTCCAGCAAACCACAGAAAAACTAAAATATATGCGGCTTCGGATAATCTTCTGTCAGGATGAAGGTTACTATAAAATTGGGAATTCAAAAACTTTTCACAGAGACTGTTGAATAAGCTTCTCGAAATCCGAAAGTGACTCCGGAACTCCAATTCTGGGTATTTCGGTACCGTGTTTTCCACGTAACTTTTAATGGAATTTCTTGAATTTTTTCGTAATGAAAACAAAGCAAGATCCATACTTAAATTGAAATTACTTCTACGTCTAATTTTGTGCAATACAGCAATATCTAATTCGTCGTCATCAGATGACGATGAATCCAATATCGCCATGATGGCTGTGGTGACTACTTTTTGTTGCATATTCGCACTTCTCATTTCTTCATTTCTTTCATGTAGTAGAATTGAATCTAAAAACAAATTTGCTATCAAATGTTATAGAATTCTAACATGAGGATACCTTCAATGTTTCCAAGCTTTGAATCCCCAAAAGAAACTGTGTGACCTACATCTCCAGCACACCTTGGGTAATTGTTGGGTTAAACATTTTTTTTTATTATAATAATATTTACTTACTTCTTTTATTGGTGAATCGCTCATATTTCTATATTCTTTAAAGTTAGCAAAATTTGCCAATTAATATTCTTGTTGTCAAGAATGCAACCATGCGTCACAATCATATGTTTTTCGTGTTTGCAAATTCTTGCCGGCAAAATTTTTTCCAGCAAGAATTTGCAACTTCTCTCTAAGAGAATTGTCACTTTGCTCTCACAATTTTTGAGTGTTGGATATTTTTTTGGTCTGCACGAACGCGATTTGGGCAAAAATCATGAAAATTCGTACAAATTTTTTGCTCGGCGAACGAATCTGATGGAATATAATATGTTTACATACATAAATATGCAGTATTTACTGCTACTTCTTTCCCTTCTTTGTTTAGCCAATAAGTAAGAATATTTTTCGCGTTTGATTTTTTATCTGGTTGGTATTATTCTGACTTTTGTTTTCTGCTGCTTATTTTGTATGCAATCCTGCTTTTGCTTGATATGAGTACAAGCAGAAGGGGTATTCCCGGGCAATTATTGCAAGTAGATACTTGAATTTTTTATGTTTTGGGCTTTGGTGTGTTACTAAATAAACACGAAAATTAAGCTAAAGCAGAAATTTAAAGTTATTTTTCATGCGTATATATGTATGTATGTATGTACATACGAGTTTTTTATTTTTTGTTCAAACCGTTTTTTGGAACCGTAAAGTTTTTACCGATATGTATATTTATGTATGTAAATATGTATATATATATATATATATGTATATATATATTTCCAAATTCTAGCAAAATATCGATTTTTTTTATGTGATATCTCAATTTAATTGTTCGATACAACTCACTTTGGCGGTAGGGGGTATATGGGTTTTATTATGGGTCTAATAATGTGGGTACATTTGATATCCGGATGGATGCTTGTTCCCTTTTTCCCTCTTTTATATGTCCCTCGTTGAGCCTCCCAGTAGTTGGTTTGTTGGTTTGAGTTTGCGCCCGAAATGTATATTTATTTGTATGTATATTTATTTAATTATGTATTTAATGTTTGTAATTGTTACGCGACGCGCCCGGACAAAGTTTTAAGTTTATAAGTTTTTCCTCACTGTTTTGTAATTTCACATAAGCACTTGTATTTGTACGTATGTACGTATGTATGTAATATGGCACTGTGAAATTTAATTACTCCGATATATGTACATATATGGATCGATATCACTTTAAACGTTTTTATTGTTGGCAAAGGACTGTAAAATTTTTTTTATTTTTTATTTTCTTTAATTTTTTTTTGGTGCCGTTCACTTAGGCCCTTGGTTTTTATGTTGCCGGTAGCTTACCACTTAACAACACTGGTTCCACTCGATTCAAAAAGAACACACAGTATTTTTATAAGCTTTTATTCAACTTGGTCATCCCGCGCAAATAGCGGAAATTTCCAATCGATTGTAAACTGACTTCCCGACAAGTTAGAGACTTGAAATTTTCAGCATAGTTCCAATCACGATGACAATGCAATTTAAAATATAAACGAATTCCCCATATGGTCCAGGGGTCTTGATTCAAAGACGGTCAAATAATAGTAAGATTTATGGCTAACAGAGCGTAATTTGCCAAAGAACGTAAAACCACTATAAAATTGTTAAAGCTGCCGGCGCGCCGCGGCGGTAGTGTAGCAAAGCTATTTGTAGCAAATTCTAGACTCCAGATGTCGCCCCGCCAGAAGAAGTTAAATATTGCGCCTAAATATATGCCATGCTACAGAGGAAATGGACGACACGCCATTTCTTTAAATAAAATTAACTGCTGCTATATGTACATATGTATGTTTATACTAGGGCTGATGATACCCGGGTATTACCCGGGTGCCCGGGTAATTCGGGTAATGCCCGGTTACCCGGATACCCGATTACCCGGGTATTACCCGGGGCTTTTATTACCCGGGTAGTCGGGTATTACCCGATTTGCCCGGGTACCCGGGTAATATACATATGTTGGTGCCAGTTAAACGAAAAACACCCGGGTAATGCGACATAAAGCTTCTTGTATAATCTTTTTGGTGAGGATAAATATTTTTTCAGTGAGAAAATTTTTTTTTATAATTATTTTTTTATGTCTAGAGTGTACGCGACTATGTACACCTAACCGCTTGCCTGAGTAGACGGAGACAAGAAAAGTAAATTAAAACATTAGTTTCTGTACTTAAATTCAAACTTCTAATTTTTGTAAATGCATATACATACATGCATGTGTACATATGTATGTATGTATGTATATTTTAAAGAATATTAAATATTAATATTTTAAAACAGGGACTGAGAACGAAATGTATGATCGAAACTAAATGCCATTGTCGTAGTTTTGTTCCCAAGAACGCGTCAAAACCAAAACCAAAATGAGAACAAAACTGACGAGAACGTTCTCATTGGGAATTATATAAGAACTAAACCCTGTGGTAGGCCACTTCTGGTACAAAAAGTAAGGTGAAAAAGCCTTATGCTATTCATTCACCTAAAGATTTTGTACTTTTATTGTATCAGCTTGTTCAAATTATAGTTTCTTTTCTCATAATATTTAAAGCTTTTAAAATCACAATTATTTAATGAAGTTTCCTTAATACGAGAAGTAGGTTGATGAACGTATTGTTGTGAAATAATTGTGGAAGAAATTTTAAAATTTTTTTCATTCCAACACAAAAATTGCCTCAACTGTCGGTCATCGTTTAGATTCGCTGGTGGGTGTGTCTCAATAATTTTATTTGTTACCGATCCGATATCTGTACGTGCATTACCAACTTCGTAAATATTAATATTTTAGACATGCCTAAAACAAGCTGGGTTTGGAAGTACGCTTGTGTGATGAATGACGGATTTGTCAAGTGCAATGTATGTGTTGTATATTATAATATTTCCCCATATGGTACCGAAGATTCTTATAGATTTTCCCTATGTACGTTCGTTTGGGTTATATGATCGTAAATGCGTTTAATTTTCACCTCTCCACATTTTTTCGTGTGCCCGGGTACCCGGGTAATTACCATACTGCCCGGGTACCCGGTCTACCCGGGTTATAAAATACCCGGGTACCCGGGCTACCCGGGTAATTCAATACCCGGGTAGGGCTTCACCCGCTACCCGGGTACCCGGGTAGCTCATTACCCGGGTGAAATCATCAGCCCTAGTTTATACAAAACAAAAGCAAACATTTTGCTGCCAAGTCTTTTGTTCTCTTTCATTGCAAGTTGAATTATTTTAATATCTATTGCAAAATTTTGTACATAAAATAAAATAAAACTTTTTAATATACAATGCTTTTATAAATGGACTAAAAATTGTAAAATAAAATAAAATAATGTAAACAAATGTATTTTTTAAAAACAAGCTTTTATTTAACCTGTACAATCAAAGGAATACAATGAAGTAGTGTAACAAAAGATTTTTTAGCAAGAAAATTTTGTCAAAACTGCACTAAAATGAATAAAATAAAATAAGTTAAGGTCTCGTTAAAGTTACTAAAAGCCATTTAGTAAAAGGAGTTATTCAAACTCTAATGAAAATTACTAACAATTTGTACTAATTTACTTCGTTTTTAAAAAAGCTTCATTTTATTCCTTTGATTGTACAGGTTAAATAAAAGCTTGTTTTTAAAAAATATTTTTTTTACATTATTTTAAATTGAATTTACAAATTACGGATGGTTTTATTTTGCAAAAAAGTTCGATTCATGAAAGATTCTGAGTACATATATTCAAATTCAAAAGTGAATAGACATTTGGAGTGCATATTTGTGTGTGTGTGTGTGTGTGTGTGTGTACAAACAGAGTGGTGTATAAGGAAAGTTAAATGTCGATGTTCTGTTTACAATGTTGCGGAGGCGTGTGTGAATGTGTAGTGGATGTGGGCTACATCTGCCGGCGTCGATCGGTGGTGCAGCGCACGAGCAGAAGTCCGGGGTAGCCTTCGCGGAAGGGCTCATTTGGCCAGAAATATTGAACGTAATATTACAATATCCACATGAATTACGTAATTTATATGCTATTTAGCTGTATAAAAACTGCAAAAGGGCTCAAAATTAATATAACACTACTGCGAGTTTTATGTAAACATCCAATTTAAATCTTTGTTTTATCTTTTCATCAGTTCAATGTGCTTCATATGTATATACAAATAAACATATTGCACAAATCTTATACTTATATTTCACACCAAAGGTACACTTTTCCCAAGTAAAGCTGAAATTAGTCAAGAACGTAAACGCAGCGGTACGTAAACCCGTGTCAGCTGACACGATCTATCTTACCAGAACGCCATGTAAATGAAAACTTAACAACGCAGAATTTTTCTGTAGTTGTAGCCCGTAGCGCAGAAATCTGCGGAATTTAGATTTTTCCGTGTCAGCTGATTTCTTCCTGGTTGCCACTTCGTCAGTTTTGCAGATGGTAAAAAGGTTATAAGTTGCTATTCAAAATACGTTTAAAATATTTGAAATTTACTATTGAATAAGGTTTTTTGTTAAAAACTAAGTAGTTTATATTAAGCTCCGATCTATTATAGCACCAAAAATTGTAGTTGAAAAGGCAAGTTTATAAAAAGGCATTGATGAATGGCAATACTGTAGTAAGCAACACTGAAGTAAACAAACAGAATGTATACAAACACGTATGTATGTACCTAAAAAGACTTGAAGTACTTGCAGCGAGATAAGTTTTTAGAACTGCGATTTATTTAAAGATTAAAACAAAAAGTAGCAATGGACGACGAAAGATTAATAATATTAGTACAGGCGCATAAAGAGCTTTACGACAAAAGCAGCCCTCTTTATAAATTAAAAGAGAGGA